TATTAATGTCAGCTCCTTTTCCCATATATAAAAGAAAATTCCATTTTGCTGGTAATGCACAATTAGTTCTCAAAGCTTTAGCTTTTCATATATTTTCTAATGTAGAAGTTATTAAATGCACCATTTCTTCTGGTCTATTCTTACTAACAATATGAATGAGTGTTGGGATTTTTTTCCACAAAAATATATAAATTAATATGAACTAAATAGACATTAAGACCCTTCCAAAGCTGTATTTCTGTCAAATTTAATCTAATGTACGCCTAATTATTTCACATTTAAAGACTTGTTAAAACTAAAAGAATTTCATGGCCCAAGAAATGATGCCTTTAAATTGCCTCAAACTAACCACTCACTATTAGGTGATGATGGTATGAGAAATGACTAGCACAGAGGTACATTAATAATACAAATGAAATTTCCATTTACTATTTAACTTTGCTCTGCTTTTTGATGTTTCTTCCTACTAAATACTTTGGAGAGAGAGATAGACATCTTTTCTATATAACCTGTAAAGAAAGTAATTAAGTATAATTGAAAGCAGCCTTGCCCCAAACAGGACATGCAAAGTTTTCAACTTAATAGCTCCAGTCAATACACAAGATATCTTAAGGTCGTTTTATCTTGTATAGGAGGTTTGGTAATTAAAAGGCAAAAGCTGGGCCTCCCCTGGTGGCGCAGCGGTTGAGCACTGGGTTGCGAGTCTGCCCGCAGCCTCTGCAGTTCGATCCCTGGCCACCGGCGAGGGTCCCACAAAAAAAAAAAAAAAAAAAAAAAAAGCAAAAGCTATATATTATTTTGGTCCATAAAATAGGTAGAACTCAGTAGACAGGTTATCTTTACAATTCATTACAAGGACAGCAATGGTTTAAAGTGTGCTACTTGCTGTCCAATGGTGCATATCCCATTCAGTTTCTTCATTGATCCTTCAATGGAAGGGATTATTCCCTTTAGACCCATGGGTATACAATCTAAGTCCAACTGAAAACCATGTCCTTTTTCTCCAGGTTCAAATCTCAGAGAATTAGGGTGATTAAATGCACAACAGAAAAAATTTCAATTTCCAAATATTTTCAGTAAGATACATTTAAATGACTACGTGCCAGGCATCATGCTAAACATATGTGTTATTTTTGTGTAACATTTATATTAACTAGCTGCTATTACAATTCCTATGCTAGATATGAGAAAACTGAGGGGTAAAAAAGGTAAGATGCTTCACTCGAAGTTTCCAACAAGAGCAAACCAGAATTTCAACCCAGTTCTGCATATCTCAAAGTCCCTTTTCCTAACCTGAAGTCCAGGAACCATTTAATAAGACATTGTTCTTCCTATTTCTAAGAAAGAAGGAAGAATTAATTTGAGGGAAAGGAGGTTAATAAAAATGCTACAGGATAATTTTATACTATGAATTAAAATCTAAAGGACTAATCTGCTGATAGCAAAAACGTTGCCCATAGCACTTACAACTGCTGTTTACCCCATGGTCTTCACAAAGTATGAAAATTAACCATTAGCTATAAATTCTAATCCTGGATTAGCACCTTATTTGCAGTGACTCTGACAAATAATGAATGAAATCTAACTCATTTTTGCCACTATTTCTTAAAATTAGGTAATTTTACTTCTTCCATTTGTCAGTTGTAAGATTTGTAGATGGCAATGACAGTTTCCATAACACCAGTAAGGAATGGTGAGGGGACCTTCCTTGGATCTGACTGAGACACGGTGATTCTTAGTAAACAACAGTTTGAAACATTCCTCAAATGAAGAAATTCAAACTCGACTTTCCATGATCAATGCGGTTTTCTTAGATGCAGAGGGAAGGTGACTGTTTCCAGTTCCTAAGACTGTAGATAGAATTAAGAAAGTGGAAATTCTGTAAACCTTAGTAAGGCTCCTACAAGGGAGGGTTTGTGACAACCTCTCAGGTGCCAAGGGCACAGAGTTATGTCACTACAGCAATGGCATGCTCTATTACAGACCTCACAAGTTTCATTTAACGTATTTATTGGGTTTGTGTTCTGTCTCTCGCACTGGAGACATATATATCAATGTGTCACACCTGCGTAATGGATAAAGCTCAAAGAAGCAAGTGAAATGATTCCCCATTGCACCCCTTCCCATCAGGTAAAGCCCATGCATCTGCCTTCCCCTCCCACAGACCACAGATTAAGCTCTGGTAATATGCACTAAGCATAAGACATTCATCATTAAATAGCAATGGGTTTTGCAACTCCTGTTCCTGCATGTGCTTTGAGGTGGTTTTCTCTCTGAGTCATTCTGAGTCTTTCTTGTGTCTAAACTTTTCGGATAATATACACTTTGAGAGTAGGAATTGGTCTTGTATGGCCTTGTATATCCTCTGCCTCCCACAGTGCCTGGCACAGGGTAGGTACTCAAAAGCTGACTACTAAATGAATATTGGTGTGAGTCCTCTCTCGTATGATGGCTTTTAATTATGTATAGTTTCCCTTGGCATAGTCAGCTGATCACAAGGGGGTTAAAACTGGGCCTTAGGTCTCACAGAAACAAAAATTCCTGCTCAAATGTCAAAATTACATCAAAGGAATCAACAAATTATTTTTCCTGGGGTCTTTGGTCTTTTACCTCAGTACCAAATAGAAGTTATACTGAAGGCAAATGCAAAGTATGAACAGAGTTGAGGTATTTGCTTTTTATTCCAATCCTTGTTTAGCCTAGTTTAACCTCAATACTCAGCCACAAAACACTGATATGTAAAGAGATCCTTGTGACACGCACAACTTTGAATAAATCCTAATTATATGCTGTTAATGGATATTCAAAGACAATATATGAAATTATTGCTGTAATGGACTTTTCCTTCCCTCAAATAATGCCATTATACATTGATCTTTCCCAAACAGGTTTCTTCACGCGCAAGTGTGTTTTCAAAACAACTGTAGAGGCAAGTTATGTGAAAATTCAACCACTAGATGGAGTGGCTTTTATAAGCCCTCAGGAATCAATTTGTTATTCCACTCAGTGGACATGGTTCTTGATTTGGTTGAATAGCTTCTCCTCCTGCTACAATATTTAATGCATTTAACAACTGAATTAATTAAAACATAAATAAAAAATGTTATAGAAGGTAAAAATGGGTTATTACTACTGCCTACAAAGACTAAATATCTAATTGCCTTTCTGTGACAAAAGGTCAATGATAAAGTTTAATATATTGATAAAAATTACTTGTGAATATTTTAATTTCTGTCCTAACAAAATAATTAAAAGCAAATAAAGAAAAGTTCTATTAAAAACAAATGATATGCTTATACCAAGGGAAGCTAAGGTAAGAAGGAATGTCTCAGGAGTCTAAAATCAATTCTAATAACAAACTCAATTCATTTCTATTTTATGAAACATTTGGCTTTCCAATTTTCAAATATGAACCAATACAAGTCATAACTTTTTGAAGGAAAATAATGGAAAATTATTTTCTATTATTAAAGGGGCTAAAATGGAATATTTCACAGAAGTATTTGTTCATATTCGCACAGAAATCAAGGACATTATTTACAGCTTTGTAAATAATGCAATTTCCCGTCTCTTAATTTCTTGCTGCAATAATTTAAAATAAGTTTTTGTTATTAAGTATATCCAGTTTTTATTGTTGTATTCTCTTCAAAAATGATTTTAAAACTGGGTACTTAAGTGTCATCTACTTTAGGTGAAATGTTAACTACGAAAATTTTAGTGTGTACTAATGATATGAGACAGAAACAGAAAAATATGCTTTCAGGATACAAATCATTATGTACAGAGTTGGAGGAATTAGATTTCAATAAAGATACAAAAAATGTTTTGGAAATGTAGTTATGATTAAGAAGTAAGGATGCAAATTAGATCCAAGTATAGAATTTCTATGCTATTGCAACCATGAGGTGGTTCTATTATACTCATTCAAGGTCAAACCCATCCTAGGGTTTATATGATATAATTATACAATTCTGAACACAGGAAAAGTATTAAAGATCATGGAGACCTATGAGAAAGAACTAAATTAGGAGGGAGAAATAGAATTAACCTTTAAGATATATTGAGGTTAGAAGGAAAAATATTTTTGATGAGAGTACAGGTTTTTAGATCATTGACGTGGACCTGCTGAGGAACACTATTTATGATGACCCTGTATCCCACAAAGATTTTTAGAACCAAAGTAATTCTATCTGACTGGAACAATCTAGTGTGAAAATAAGCAAAGGATTTTTCAAGTTACAATTCGGGGTTTCTCTGCACTTTTTAGAAAGCTTACTATTAAACATTTTGTTCAGCAAAGAGGCTTCAAGAGATAATATTTACTTACCCAATATGCAGACATAAATTAAGAATTCCACACCATTTTCTCCTAATCTATTTACAAAGTCTATGCAAAGTTTCATAGGACAGCTAGCCGTTTTTTTTCAAACCATTGTGAAGGAACCCAAGATTATGGAGCATAAAAGAACAGGAAAAGTAAAAGTAATTAACATTCCAGCTTAATGTTTTATAAAGCTGGAAATGTTTCTGTTTCTGTTTTTCTTTTCCAAGAACCATAAAATAATGTATCACAGAAGAGGAATTCAGAAGACAATAAACTACAATGGAAATTTTGCACTAAGCCCACATAATGCAGATTCACTCAAATTATCTTACAGAATTACCCTGATAATTATGCAATTTACACTGTTTAGAGCTGGTGAGTATCTCTCAAAACTACCTAAAAGTTATAAACATATGAAAATGTATTCCAAAGCACTAAAGTATAAGATTCTGGGCAGACAGTTCCCTCTCTAATTATTTCATCAATAAAAATGGATCACAGATTACTCATAATTAGTTTCCTCAGTTGAGGGCTAAGTCATTCAGAAGTTTCCCTTTTTGTTGTTGTTGTTTCTGTTAAGTTAGGTATAATTTTCAAAAACAGCCACATTCTTCCATAATTACAAAATACCACACATGCAAAGATACAGAAGTCCTTGGACAATCTTTTTGCTTACTTTGGTTATATGTGAAATTGTTTAGCTTTCCTTTTTCTCCACCACAACTTGTTCACCACAACTTATCCAAAAGCTAGAGAAAACATCTACAAATTCTGGTAACAATGCATTGAAATGAGTTGAAAATCTGGTCCATTTAACAAGCCACACTGGAAAAAAAAACAAAACAAAATGATCATAGTAGCATTAAGTTCCTCTTATCGAGTTGATTTATTTTTTAATATAGCTGAGTTAAAAGCAAACATGAGTGACATACTATCTATGATATTGGTTTACTTGCTTTATTAAAAATATCTTCACTTCTTAACCAATAGAAATCAATGTTATAAAATGTCCTTGTACGAATGTTCATATGTAAAAGTAGATATTTGTTTTTAAAATGTCATACTAGAATTTACTATCAATTTAAATGTAAAACTCCCTGTAGTTTAATTTAGAGAATTCATGTTGTTTCCAATGTTCTCTAAATATACGGTCTAAAGGAACAAATGAAGTAATGATGAAGGAAAGAGGGGAGACCTATCATTTTAACACAAATTTTAAAAAACATTATTTCCTAATTATATTTTATTTTAATTACATTCAAATATACTACTGACATACACCGTTTGTGACAACATTTGCCAGTATATTCAACTACCACAACAGATTGCCTGGCACATCTTTGAAAAATGCCTCTGCTCTTCTTTAAAAAGCAATAGCTTGGAATTTGCTAGTAGGAATGAAAAAAAAAAAAGCTATTATGTGTTTAATTTAGGAAATCATAATGCATTTTATTTCTTGAAATTGAAAAAATTTAACAAACAGATGAACTAAATAAAATAAAAATAAACTTTTGGCCTGCAATACCAATTAGTGGTTACCAGAAGGAAGAAAGGGGGATGGGTAAATTGGAAAAAGGGGGCAATGATACGATAAAGGATAGATTGAGACTTACAGCAATGACCTTACTGTGGTATTCAGTCATGATGATTTTCCATGATGCATACCTAAACTTACATAATATTATAATGCAATTTTAGTTCACTGAAAGCATTAACGAATTTTTTAAATGTTATTTAGAATGTATAATGGTGGTGAAGAATCAATCCATTGATATCAAATTTCTACCCAATCCAAATTACAGTGTAAATATAAGATATTAGATGATATACTGTACTCTTAGGAGAAAATGATTTGCCATCTCCATTAGGGGAAAGGGAACTTAAATTCCTTCTTGCATTCAAATGTGCAAAATTCACTTTAAGAAACATTTAAAAATACATAATATAACGCAATAAATAGCACAACAAGTTAAAAAAAGGACTGACTACAAATGACTGATTCCCATCTAACCAATCTTAACTCACATATTCAAAAACAAAAGGAAACAAAACAAATAAACAAAACAAAACTTTGAAAGCTTTCTTAAAGTGCAGGTGTGAAAATTTCTCCAGCTGGGGCTAAGACAGAATTCACAGTGTAACAGAACTCATAGTATTCCAGAATAACTGCTATGACTCTGCCAGGCCCATTTGCTTAGGTTTGGTGAGTAAACAATTCTTCCCTCAAAGACCTACATGGATACAACCATGAACCTCAAGAATTTCATGCTTACTAAATTATGTAATTAACCTGTCCAAATGAACTTTTACATTAGAGAGTATCTTACAATTATTAATTAATAATCTAGTGGGAAAATACTACAAATATATAGGAAATATCCATAAAAACTACAACAAAATTATATTTGCAAATGCAACTGTCCTAGAAAAACTATTATAATGAAATGTACTTTATTTTCCATGAGGCACCCAGTTCAGTGCAGAAATATGACCCAGGAAAGCTTTTAGTAAATATTTTATGTTAAGAACTAGAGGTAATCATGCTGATTACTTTATGTAATGGCTTTGACCTATTATTACTGATAGGTCATAAACACAGCTATTGTGCATGCAGTTAAGGTTGAGAAAAAAGTTCCTCTAACATCAAACCATTGAACAGAACCAAGAGAAACACTAGAAAACCACTAAAAACAACCTTCCCTTCCCCTCCTCACAGATTTCCTATAGTTTTAACTTAGTTGTGATAGTATTATGATTTACATATAACAAATATAGCTATATAAACATACATTGTAATATAGTAATAATCTTGTATATTTCCTCCCAACTTTCTTTCCAAAAATAAACAATTATCAAGATTGGTGAAAACTCTTTTAGAACTATGAATCAGTGTTTATGATAAAAACTATAATCAAACGCAGTTATGCCCATCTGATATATTTGCAAGAAGCTTAGAACACATGGGACTGGAACAGATTTCCACCTGACCTGGAAAATAACAGCAGTCTTGTTTTGATTCAAGGTAGATACTTCCTTTTGCCATGAGTCCTTCAGTGTCCATCTGCACAGCTGCCTTGAATTTGGATATTACCCCAAATTTGTAGTATTTATTTAAAATCTGAATTATAGGTTCAAATATATAAAGATGACATCTGAATTTTTATTTCAGTCATAATATGATCTATGAAAAAGTTCATTCATACATATGAATCAAAGTATATTTACCATTCAGCCATCTAAAATTATGTAATATATATAATATCACATTGGAACTTGATGCTATATATATGTTATCAATGACATTATTGTTTCTTTTAGTTCAGAAAAATATTTTGAAGAAATGCAAATTAATCTATGTTATAAAGTTAGTCCAACCTAATCTAAGAATATACAAATAAGTGAAATAAATGGGTAGCCAAACATTAAACAGCAATTCAGTGGCAAAGTGCTGAATATCCCTACTTCTCAAAAACAGCATGCATACAATTATAATACAAAGTTAGCATTATTATGAGAACAAGATTCGGAAAGAACTGGAGATTTGGGGAGGGGGAAAAAGAAAGTTAAATTTTTGTCAACACAAAGTACATGAATTGGTTTTGATGTACTCTTATTAATTTTGCTACCAATCTTCAGTCAATAAAAGAAAAAATCAGCAAAGCTTGCAGTCCCTGGAAATAATAGATATGCAATGTCTGAACCTGGCCCTAGCACAGTTTTTCAAACAATGTTGGGTCTGGGTTGTTTCAGAGTGAAAGGCAGAATTATAAATTATTAAAACCAAAGGCTGGTTTCACTCTAATTTGTCAGTTCAATTAGAAAATGATGAATACAAAAATAGAAGAGATAGACTTACACTGGTGGAGATACGGCATCTTTTTAGCAGGGATGAAAGCGCTCATCTGTGTTCTTCATGCAACTGAGCTAACATAATTACCCCAAGAATAACAGGCAGCAACCTAAAGGACAGGCTCCATCTTAAGAACTAAATTCAAGATGTTATAACCAAATCTCCTTTTACTCATCATGTATTGTTAGGTATTTTCAAATTCAATTTATAACCCCCCCCCTTTTTTTTTGCAGCATTCCTGGAGAGCTAATTATGGGGAATAATCTCTTTCCTTATTAGGTCAACTGTTTTCTGGGGAGAAACATTTGGTAAGCGTGGTGAACTATAAACTGCTATTATAAGTTCCATTTCATAATAGTTGCGTCTTATACAACAAAGTATTTCCATTCTAATTGCAAACACCAATATGCAAGACAACCAAGGAGCCTCTCTAAATTTCCTTGTGGTTTATGTTGATTCCAAGTCAAAGCAAAGAAGAATGTCATCTGATTATTCTGAGAGAGTTTTTCAGGCTTTGCCTTAGTAATTAATAAGCTGACACTGCATACTAAACACTTATCAACGCAATCAATGGGGGCTGCTTCTTTCTTGAGAAAATAGGTAAACCGATTCAAGGAGTTTTCTTTGGGAATAGACTGTAATATGCCACAAATATAATGGTTTTCCTAGAGAATTTCATTCCCAGCAGTTTCATCCTGCTAACATTTAACAATTTCACTATTTTAACATTTTGAAATGCCAAAAAGAACACAGTGATCCTGTAGCTAGGCTTATTAGAGAAGAGCAATCTCACAGGCGAGACAGGGAGGCACACGGTCCACTGGGAAAAGGGTAACAGAAAAAGACAGAAAACAGTGGATAACAAAGCCGAGCGCTACTCCAACGTGAAAGCCCATTTTCACCAGAATTTAAAACTTTACACACCAAATTAAATAATACCACCTATGGTTTATTTCAGAAACTATGCATAACATTTATACATGTGTGCACGTACAATGATGCTATCTTTTAAAACTGGGGGCATGAACATCTAATTTGCCTTCCCAACAAGTATGCAAGCAGAGTAAATTCATTTTTGAAAGCTCAGAACTGAGCATTCCCCCCCTGTGGCATCACTGTACTCCCAGGTGGAGACTTAGGAGCACAATGAGACCTCTCCCCATCAGACACTTTATACATACCTCAGCCAAGACTGCCCCTTGCCTGGAGTGGGAAGACATCTTTGGAACAAAAAGAGTCCATTTACAGTAAGTTCTCTTGATAACCTAAAATGGATTAGTTTTTAGAAACCATGACCATCATCAAGCCTCTGGTTCCACTCTAACAACTGCTATTATACCTACAAGTAGCCTCTTGCAGTATTCAATGTTTAAAATTCTGGAGGGGTGTAGATTCTATTCATGTATGGATATGATCAGAACATAATTTGTCTCACTTAAGAAACTATTCATGTCTTTTATTTTGATAAAATTGCTCTTAACTGAGTTAAAGCGCAAAGGAGGGGGATGGATTACTAGGAAAAACAGAACAGAGGAAAATCCATCAGTATATCTTCCCTTGCAAAGCGTCAGTAGGGTGGGATTAGAAAAGCAACACTTTAAATCAGATAAAGTCCTAAGGGAACCTTAAAGGTTGGTTGCTCTGAGCTTCTCAATACTCTGAAAAATAGATTGACGGCAGTGGTCACCCTGCTGATACTCAACGTCTAGTGAGTTTCCACTAAGAAATTGCATTTCCCTCATTGTTCAAAAGATATTAACTTGGTAATAAAAATGAGAAGTTATGGGATCCATAGAGATATCCTTTAGCACCTTTAAACCAGTAAATCTGCTCTAATCTCATTGGATTAAATGCCCAAGGATGCTTAATATATCAAAAAGCAACAACAAATGCAAGAACAGCACTTATTTGAAGGAAAATAAAAAAGAAGGAGACAGAATCATTAGCAGAACACTCATATTTTATCTGCTGAGTTTAAAACTAAAATTAGAAGCATGCATGTTGCTTTTAAACTTTCAAATGATCAAATGACAGTAAAAATACATTTGGGAGGTGATGCAATTAAGATTAGGAATCTTAGAAAGAAATGTCTTTTAAAAACACATCAACTTTATGACTCGTTCTGAATTAAATGGTTTCATCAACATTTAAATTTAGATATTAGCTAAATGCACACTGATTATTCCTCAAAGAAGAGTGGTTCCTGTAGTTATATTTTTCTATATCAAAAGTTTATTATTTAATATACATTTCTTTATAAGACATTTGATATTTTACTTTAGTCAGTTTTTAGGTGTGGTGCAGAGATCGATGTATTTCTCTGGGAAGACTTAGTTGCTGATATAATTTACAGACATCAGTCACCAACTCAAGCGCCAGTTTTTCAAACATGCACAATTGCACATTTTCTACAAACAGACATCGATGCATACAAAGACCCAGGTGCCCATACACTCAATAACTAGTAAATGGTAGAACCCTCCAGACGTAGCACAGACCACATTAACAGACAGAGGATATACAGCTAAGTAAACACCAACGCACGATTCGCTCACACGATGTAGGAACTCTACGAAGGACACTTGGGGACCACTCTGGTCAACACCCTAGGGGGCGGGAGGCGGAAAAAGTATCGCCAAACGCAACTCTGCCAGGTCTTACCCTTCGCATCCCCCGGTCCTCGGGGGAGAAGCTCCCTTGGCACCTCTTGCCCAGCGCAGGGGCTGCTTCTCCGCCAGAAAGAAATGTCCCCCCAGACTCTACCGAGAGCTCTGCAGGGAGCCGAGGAGCCCCGCCCGGGCCAGGGGAAAGCACTGGCACCGCGGGAGTCCAGGAGAGGCGGAGGAGGCGAAGAAGTGGAAAGGGAAGGGGTGGCCGAGGGAGTAGCGGGCGGGAGGTGGCGCCGCCGCCGGGACGAGGACGAGGCCGGGTGGGGTGCAGCGGTGGGTGCCTCTGTCTGTCCGTCAGTAAGTCAGTCGGTCCGCGCTGTCTGCCCGCCGCCGTGCCCAGCCTCCAGCGCCCGCCCGCGACGGGGCCCGGGACTGGCGCGCCCTCCGCCCCTGCTGCCCGCGAGCCTCGCTGCTTTGCCAGACTCTTCACTGGGTCCTCCCGCTCGCCCCGCCGGGCCGGGCGTGGGGCTGCCGGGCACCGCCAGACCGGGCGTCCGCCGCCTCGCCCCGCGCGCACTGTCCCTGCCTCTCCCTCCGCTCGCGCAGTCTCTGGCTCCCTCTCGCTCCGGTCCCATTTATGAAGCGCGGTCCCATCACGTGTTAATGAGCCTTTGTCCTGCCCTGGCAGCGGCGGCGGCACAGACCCCGCCGAGGGAACTGCTCGGGGAGGGACCAGAGCACTGCGCAGCGTGGCGCCTGTGGCTCCAAACTTTGCAGGCGCAGGCAACGCGCCGCGGCGCCGGCCCTGGGGCCAGAGGGGACCAGCCTCTCCGTCCCGCGTCACCAACTTCCCCCTCTCCTCCCGCGCCGCAGCCACAGTCCCCAGGGGCTCGCGCTGCCATGACCCGGCTGTCCTCCCGGATACCCTCACACCCCGGCCGTGCGAGAAGGGGCTCGTGCCTGCACCACCCCCGACCTCCTGTCCATTAATCACGCGCGCCCCGACTGTGCGCAGCGCCAACACCTTGCGCGGGGGTCACGTCTGGGGCAGCTGGCTGAGCCGGAAGGGAATGGGGAGCGGGGGGTGGGGGGAGAGGCCTCAGGGCGCCGGGACTGGGGTGCGGCCTCGGGTGGCTCGCCGGTTACCCCTAGGCGCCCCCGCGGCAGCGGCTGCAGCTAACCCGGCCGGGGATCGGGGTGGGGAGCCTTGGGACCGCGCCGCGCAGCCGCCGAGCCATTTGCTACCTGGTGGAGGCCGCGCGGCCACCTGTCCGCCGCCCTCGGGGCATCGCCTGGCTGTGCGCTCGGCGCCTCCTGCAGCCCCCGTCGCCCCTCCCTGCGCGGACCACTCCCGCCCTCTCTACCCGCCCGGCCCAGGCTGCAAACAGTTGGGCTCCGTAGGCGGTTGGCTCTGCGCCTCGCTGCCCAGCGCGCCCCCTTCCCAGACGCCCCGGGAGCCCGCTCCTCGCACCTCCTCGCTGGAGAAGGACGCTCCCCTCCGGGGCCGGACCCGGGACCCGCGAGTTTAGGGGCCGCCGCCACAAGCGCCTGGGGATCCGCGGTGCGCCCGGCGGCCGCGGCGGGAATTAGGGGACATGCTCGTTAATTGGTTCCACTATCAGCCGCCGTCTGCCTCCCGTGTGCACGGATCAAACCTTAATTGGTCTTTACATTTATCATGGTGAATTGCGAACCTACAAACAAGCCCCGGCCGCTGCTTCGGCAGAAAAGGCGCTTCCCCTCCCCCTGGGGCCGGGCAGGGTCTTAACAGCGGCAGCCGTGGCTGCTTAGACTTCTTTATCTCCGGAGGTGGGTCGGGAGGCAACAGCACCTGATGGAGCCACGTCACTCTGGCCCCAGGAGCTCCCCGAAAGCACTCGGTTCGGTTCCCATCTCTGCTCTCCGAGGCTGTCTCGGTGTTCCTTTTCTGACACCTCGCCAGAAACACACAGACACACACACACACACACACAGCCCACCCCGTAATGATAACCACTCTCCTCTGCCTTACACCAGAACCCAACAGCAGTCGCAGCAAATCTGAGCCCCATGTTTGGTTTATGTGTCGAATATCTGGAGGAGGGAGCCTCTCAAGAAAGGGAGGAAAATTAGTGGGGAGGAAGCTCCAGGTTGATGGGACCAGAACCTTGGAAGAGGGAAGGCTGTAAATGCCTCCTGGAAATGCCAGGCCAAGTCTTTGAGGAGTTTCCTGCAGAGCCTACTTAAGTCTGAAAATCCCTGCTGTGGGTTCAAAAATGTATTTCCCATTTGCCCACCAGGGAAATAGCCACTTGAGTTTGAGTCCAGGGATGTAATGACTAATTTTATCTCTGTAGATGGAATTTCATCATCCATGTAGATGTAGATGAAATAGGTTGTAAATGAAGATGTGATGGACTGGTGCATAGACTGAAGAATGACTGATGGCAACGTGGGTAGATGCAGGGGGATTAGCACTGGATATTAAACCTGATGCCATAAGGGCAGACTCTACTGCTGGTAAAGAAGCCCCTTCAGGCCCGCCCCTCATTTTCAGAGGACTAGAGCCAGAGATTTAGATGTGGTCTGGGGAAGGTTTCAGCTTCTTTTACCCCCCTCTCCCCCATTTTTTTAAAGGGTTGTTTGATTTTACCTTCACCACACCCTTGACAGAAGCATGTCCTGGACAACTTTGTGTTCTCAGTGACCTCCCACACTCTAATTGTCAAAGGGACCAATGACTTGATTAGAAATAACCCTGTTTCCCCGTAGCATCAGTTCAAAATGATTGCAAGTAATGAAAAGAAAAGATCTAGCAGCACTTCCTCTCCCTGTGATGTGGACATCCTTCAGCCCCAGGAAAAACTGGGAAATTGGGTTTCTGGAACACTCACTCAACAGAATTTCAATGGGTGCTGCCACCCCTCCTGTAAGAAGATGATGTGTGTTATTGGGGGGCAGATTTGTTTAGCATCTCTCAGATACTCAGCACGGATACATCCTGAGGTTGGCCCTTATAGGGTATTCCCCCCACTCATTGGTGATCTGCTCCTTGGAGTTCAAAAAGTGGGAACCATTTACAACTTATGAAAGGTGCCCCACGGGAATCTCATATCTTAACCACACCGACTTTTGCTTTTTTCATAAAGAGGAAAACCCTAAGTATCCTATGTGTCTCTAAGTCATCCCAAATCTCTTTTGATAGTGAAGTTCTGCAGTGAATTCTATAAAATCCCAAGCAGAAACCTAAATAGTCCGAATTCTATTTGTTGTTTCACTGGCCAAAGTGACCTGTGGACAGAGCCAATCATTAAGAATCTAATCGAGTAGTGACTCCAGCAGCTGTAATTGTTCAGCCTGTTATTCTGTTGTCGTTGGGGTGGGGTGAGGGGAGCTGCAGCCCAACAGCTGGTAAATTGTACTGACTTTTTATTTTGAGCTCAAGGATAATGCTCAGTAATGGAGTCAAAATATGACTTGTGACCTGGCATTTTATCACCACAAGTGAATGCTTTGTTGAAGCTGACAGGGTTATTATATTGTTTGGGAAATGCTGTTCTTGTGGACATGCGTGTACATCTTTAAAATTTAAAGTCTGCCCTGGGCTCATCAGGGTGTTTGATAGTCAAAGAGCTTCTTGCTCCACTTTTTCTTCAGAGCTAGAAAGGAGGCAGTGTGCAAGCAAGATGCACATTTTGCCAGGATCACCTTTATATGGGAGGAAATGATGGTGTTTCTACATGTGCTTGGCCATCCACTGTACTCAGGAGAGTCAGCAAAAATGACAAATGCAAGCTGTCAGAGTCCCTATTAAGAACATTATGTTGAGGGCACCCATACATTTAACATAAGACATTGAGTGGTCCTTGGTCATAATGAACCTAGGCTGAATTTGAACTCATGACCTTTTTAGGAAGAGACTGTGGCAGCCCCTTAACAGGCTTCACTAGTGCCTATACTGCTACATTCTAAGCTGTCAGGTTTTTTTTGTTGTTGTTCTTTATCCTTTTAAAATTAGAAAGGGCTATGATGAGCCAATTTACTGCCGTTTTGAGTAATTTAGGTTATTCACTCAGTGAAATGTAGAGGATGAGAGCACAGTTAAGGCTGCATATTTCAACGTCAAAGAAAGATCTCAATTTATTCCTGCCAAAGTGTTTATGGTTATACTGGACATAGAACATTAGAGAAGTATGTCCTGTCTCTAAGATAGCGGGTGATCCAAGAGGAACGATACTTCAAGTTTTCTTTTTTTTATAGTGGGTTGTGCCTTTCTTCCCCTCCCATGAAGTGGTCTGTTGGGATGATGAGTAATGATTTTCTGGTTTGGGAACTGGTAAAGCAAAAAACATCTTTCTCTTAGAGTTTTCAGAGTTCTGTCCAAGTTTGGTCCTCCTGTTTGATTTGGTATTTTCAGAGTGATGCTCACACCACAGGGCTGGAACGCTCGCTGATTGACGACATTTGCAGAATGATATTATGACTACAAGATTTCATTCTAATTCAGAGCACTGCTTTAGAATTTCGATAGCTATTATTGGCTCTCCTTTGAAGCATTAAAGCATTTTGTTTTTCAGTGGCTCTGCATTGCTTGATGGGAATTTGCATCTTTATTCAGGGTAAGTGTCAGTGAGCCTGCCCACTAGGTTGGGGATCTATCACCCCCCACCCCCAGCCCACCCAGGGCCTAAGATGCTTGATCCTGAGTTCTCCACCAGGGAGGCAAACAACCTAAGAATCTCCACACTTCCTCTGCATGTTTCTCAAGAGTCACAAGCTGGTGATGGGAAATGAGATTCTTTTTCACTCCCCCATCAGAAAATAAACTTCTTGAAATCTATTCTAGACAGAGAGGCTGGTTGCCAGGGTAGGGAATGAATGGATGAGGAAGGACGATGGGCTTCTTTGACCTTGGGGGACATTGTGGTGTGTTAGGCATAAAGAAAACCACAGCTACTTCTCCGTGATCTTTCCATATAACTAAACACATCCTCATTAGGGCTTTTTTTTTTTTTTCACCTTCTCACCTTCTTTCATTAAACCCCACTCTTTAGTGTCCCAGCTGAG